TGTGACCCTGATACTGCAGCAGATCGCTCTCATCCATTTCCTGTTATCACTTCAAATAGAAATGAGGCTGTAGAGCATAGGTGTCAAACTCTGGCCCGCGCGCCAAATTTGGCCCGCAAAGCCATAGGCTTTGGAGCGTGATGTCATGGGAGGGGGCGTGGCCATGATTTTTGGTCGAGCCGCCATCTTAGTAGGCGAAACAAACGGCTACAGGAGTGAAAGCACACGGAAACATCAGCTATGGCTCACACTTGCTGTGTTGTCAGTTGCAATGTTAGATCCCAAGATCGGGAAGGGAATAACCTGGAAAATGGGCCCCTCCTGGAAGCAACGTGAGGGATCTCATGTATCTGATGTAACCAAACGAAGACATCAAGCTTGGATAGCAGCGGTGAGACGAGCTGATATCGGGTTCTCTGCCATCGTTTTTTGTTGGTGTGCTCTCGACATTTTCATTCCGGTAAGTTCTAAAGAAATTGCTCTTTATAGGCTTTTCGAGGCCGAACACGGAGGAGCTTAGCGATTCTGATGTGTCGACTCCGCTCTGTGTTTACGTCTTTTTTGCGCCGATTCTGAACTGCAAGTTTTGTCTCTCTCCAACCAAGATTCACCGAGCCAGCAGCAAAAGAAGCAGCAAACTGCGCTTCACATTTGATCAATGTCATCATGAACTCCCTCTGACTTTTGCTGTTTTGCTTCCACCACGATAAAAATCACACTTCCTGCACAGCTCTCTCTCTGATGAAGTCTCACATGTATCAGTACTGATAAATGATCAGAATTATAATATTTCTGACTGTCTGAGGCTAAATTGAATTGAATCAGGACTTTGAGAACCAGAATCGAATGGATTATAGAAATCAGTGATGATACCCAGCCCTACTGAGCAGCCTAGGCCTGAGAGAAGTGGATGTAGCTGTGAGTAATAAGAAAAGATGAAAAGAACTATTGATAACTTTTTTGTTAAGTTAAGGCCTGATCCTTCTGAAATTCATAGCCAGTGCTCTGACACGGAAAAAGCACAGTGTATCCAGGAAACACATTATATGCTGCAATAAATGCACTGCCCAAGTGTCCCCTCTCCCCACTGCCTTTCAGCAGCAGACAGCAGCAAACAGGTCGTCAGAGGAGCCGAAATGATGATTAAGTTTAACATTTTCTACAATATTGACAAAGCACTTTAAGCACAAGTTTGTTAGTTAATAATTTAGAAATGAATATTGTCTGTATGGACTCCCCCCCCCAAAGAAAGTGCACATGTAAAACTGCGGTGTTAAGCGATGCGGTTGAAAAATTTGAGTGTGCCTAACTTTTGTGCCGGTAAGCCTAAATTTTTAAAGTTAGGCGTACCGATGCACCCATGTCAGAAAGTTAGTCTAGAGCCCTGCAGTAAAGTTAGCTCGGTGCTTACCTTTAGATGAGCCCACAAACCGAGAGAAATTCCGTGATGAAGCTGTGGCTATGTCCACACGTACACGGGTATTTTGAAAACGGAGATTTTCCGTTTTCGTTGAAAAAAAAATCCTGTCCACACTTAAACGCAAAATTAAAGGAAAACGCTGCTAGGAACATGCCAAAGCAACAGGTGGCCATATATTCCTAACCGTGTAGAAATGTTGGCCAATCAGAGTTCTAGAAGCCTGGGTGGGAAAGAGTAACCAAACGCTCCGGTGCGTGTGTCAAAAAAAATTCAACACACTGCTTCAGAAGCACTGTGTCGAAGCTTGATTCGTTTGGCCAGAGTCACGTGATCAGTGACGTCCGAAGCTAAATTTAGAACGTGACTGCTTCGGAGTCTGATTCGATGGTTTATAAGGAAGTGAGTCATTCGCAGGATTTGTGGAATGTTTTGATGGTGACAGATAGCAAACCACTGATATTTCTACTGAGAGACATGGAGCCAGCGAGGAAGAGAGGAGGTTCTGTTGTGTGGGAGTATTTTGAGTAGATTTTGGTCATTCGGGTGGGTTTTCCAGCTTTGTGTTCTGGCTGTTTGCTTTTGTTTTGTGCGTGTTTATTTTATCTGGAAACGGGAAAAACTCAAAATGTCAAAAATCAGTTTTTCATAATATAAATATCATCAAATATCTTTAGAAAAACTTCAATTTGACTCGTTACATTTAATGTTAAAATATATATATTTTATTGTGTAATTAATCTTAAAATGTTAGTCTGCCAAATGTGCAGCAATTTAATGTATTTATTCTCTTTAGCTGATAGTTTGTGGGGCCCAGGTAGACTGTATAGCTGCATCTCTACCAGTTTCTCTGCACTCCAGCCTCCTCTGTTCCACGTGAAGGGATTTTCCTTAATGCAGGAGAAATTATCTCCACGAAAAGGAACAGGTTCGGCCATCGCACAGTGGAACAAATTCTCCTCTTAAATAAAAATGAAAAAGGGTTACCTTAAATGCATCATGTTTTTAATTTGCAAGTTCATAAGCATTTTCCATTTCACAATCAATTCTACCCCCAGGTCAGAAATATTTATAGGAAAATTTCCCCAATATAATATTATTGATAAATACACCCATCTTGTGATTAATTTCACAAGTGCATGGAGGCAGGACCTCACAGCAGAAGCATACTTCATAATGTGTTGTACATTATTATATGTATATTATATGTAACGTGGTGTTTTCCAATTACTGTATTTACCAACATCAAGAAGTGAAAAGCAAAGAAAGACCACACAATGGTGCATGTTTAAACAAGGAAAATTTGCTGGTCGAAATTATTTATTAAACAAATAAACCACATTTTTTAACCCCAAAAAATACACGTTCAAAGCAACACAACAGTGGCCCAATATCAGACAAAATTCCAATCATAATGAAGCAGTTGGTTTTATTTTGTGGATTCAAGCTGCTCTTCGTATTTTTGGCCACCAGATGTCACCAGAGAGGACTGTGTGGAAAAGCTTAGAGTAATAAACCGTTTTTCAATACAAGCTTCAGAAAGCTTCATTTGGCCATCACTAATAGTTTGTTTCGCTCCTCTGAGTTCACTACTTTACTCGCTGTGGATGAAAAATTGATATGATTATTAGTGTTAGTAGGACAGAGATTAAGATTAGAATATGGCATAAAATGAAGGAACGCTGGCAAAAGCAATGGGAGGAAGAGAGGAAAGGGTGATGGTTTTACAAAATCCAAAGGAAAGTGGGAGACAACTTCTCCATCATCAAAGTAGATGGAGCTTGGAAAGAAAGCGAATGGACTTCTTTAGGTTTCATGAAGATGTTTCATCTCTCACCCCACTGTTGGCAGTCACCCATCTCCAATGCAGTTTTGAGATGGGTGACTTTGAAAGCTCAGAGCAGGCGGCAGACCAGCATGCACAAGCGCAAACAATGTGCGGTAAATGCGGGAAGCTTGCACCAGCCTGTAGGCTGTACGGAAAGTCAAAGAGGGACATCATTCTTCTTCTGCTCTTCTGCGGCGGTTGCCAGCTTAAATTTTGGTGTTTTGTCACCACCTGCTTGGACGGAGTGTCTTCACAGCTCACAGAGTATTTGAGCGCTCACAGTTTATTTTTCTTCATATCTATTCAAAAAAGGCTGAAAGTGGAGTCCTGGCACTGCAGAAATCCCCCTGCACGAAAATATTGAAACACACACTACACACTCTTTTACTTCTGTATTTTTAACTAGGGTTTCTCCTGCTTGTGCATCACCTTCCTCCCTCAAAATGCATCACTGCATTTAATCCTGCTTGTTCCGTCTTTAACTTTGAAACCACTTCCCTTTTATGTTCACAAGCCATATGATACATGGAAATCCAAACAGTTATTATGACTGACATGAGTTTTTAATAACTGCATATTGTATGCCAAAAACATTAAAGTAATCAGTTCATTAGTGATTCTATTATATATATACTGTAGGGTATTTACCTCATTATAAAAGCTTTGATGTTGTAATTAAAATTAAATTGAGCACTTGATAAGAACCATATTTGACATTTATAAGATACTGAGCAGTAAGTACCAGAGTCAAAACTGCATGTAAGCTAACTTCGTGTATATTTTATTATTTACAGGATCAATAAAAACCTTTTTTTGTATTTTTTTCTCCTCATGCAGCAAAACAAACTCAAATTTTAAAACAACAAAGACATTTATAGGACATTTCACATGAGTAAACTAGAACAGAAATGGCGCAGCACTGACTCCACTGACAAGAATCAGGAGGTTCTGACAGAATTCTGCTGCTTTTTATTGCACAGTTTAAGTAAAATCAGAAGACCTAATAAATAAATAAATAAATAACAACAATTCAAAGGAAGTCTCTGCAAATGCTGGCTGCCAGCTTCAGACAGGTGTGTTTTTTCACCTCCATTATTCAATGGGAGACATGGATATTTCAAAATCTGTTAAGTTCTGACAGGCAGTTAGCAAACACATACAACTTCAGCTCAGTACAAAGATAAAAGGTTCCACCTAGTGGAGAAAATACACATTGCTGTAACAATAAAGCTTTAGCACTTTTTCTAATTGTTACACTTCATATCCTTTATTACAAACAACTGTTTTTAGAATACTTACAGAATTAAGCACTGCTATATGAACATGTACATGCTGCTAAAAGGTTTTGTTAAAGCAACATTTAGACAAGCCGCAAGATAAGTGTTCATACACAGCTAGCAAAGCTTAACTGGTTGTGCTTTTGCCAAAACCAGAGACAACAAAAATGCATGCAGTCAATTAAATGCATGAAAGGAAATAAAAAGTATGTACTAGGTTAACCAACTACATCTGCTGAGGTTCTGGAATCTCAAAGGCTTTAAGCACAAATATTTAAAATTAGGTACACTAGAATAAAGTTTCTTGCAGGAAAAAAGTTTCTTGTTGTTAATTTTAAGTAATGTGTAAGTAAATTCAGAGAATGCATGAGTAACTTTAAGTATTGCATAATTTTAGGTATTTTATCGGGATGGAGACAAATTATACTCTGAGTAATTTTGATTTCTTGGTATGTAGCTTATAAATGTATAAGGTGACTATAAACATCTGATTATGTAAAACAAAGCCTCAGATTAGCATACAGTCTACATATTCATGTCTTTGAAGCATCCAGTACAACACAGTGTAAATGCAGCTGTTATCAGGAAATAACTAGTTTATGGGGTAAATTTCATTGTCTGTACTTCTCAATCAAATCCTCAAAGCAAACATCACATCTGTAGTCTTTTTATTTACTTGATAATACTAACAGTCCCGGTACTTTTCTGATACTTAGCTGAATACTTTAAAAGTTTACCAATACTTGCTTGCACCAGACAGCACGTCTAAGGTCATAACTAATCTGATGGACTTTCTCGCAGTAACACTAAACAGGAGATTAAAGCTGAATTCTGTGAAGCCTGATCTTAAACTTTGAAAGTTTAACCCAATGGTCTGGCAATTTTGTCACAGCAGTGTGTGCAGTATTCATGTGTTGGTGTGTTTTTAGAGCACACTCCACTCTGAATGTTTTTCCACAAAGGTCAGCACAATAATACTTACATCTGCAGTTTGCATTATTATTATTCAGTTCATGTGCGGTTATAGTGTTAACGTCATTTTAACGAGATTAACGCTAACAGCACTATTTTTTTACATGATAAAAACTACCAAAGAACTTTCCACTCTGAGCACAACTTAAAGGTTTAATTCCAGCTTAAATAAGCTTATGCAAATTTAAGATGCTAATCTGACCAAAGGACTTGCAATATTGATGGCAGTTGAAAGGTTTCACTCCAGCGTGGATGATCTGATGTTCTCCTCACTCGGCACAGCTACATCTTTCACCACGGCTGTCTTCCTCTGCTAACGGCTGTCTTCCACCTGGATGACCTTCTTAGGTCATCCAGGTGGGTCTCTTTACATTGCTCTCACGTCCTTTTACGTCAACACCTTGCAGTCTAGTGGTCATAGCCACAGTGCCAACACTTCTTATTAGCCTGCACCCACGTGCACTTCTGACCTGTAGTCAGTTGACTGAAGTAGGTGCACTGAAACAGATAGTGCTCAGAGTTGGAGCGGTACGAACAATACACCTGTCACTCCTCTGACTTGCTGCTTGACGGTGAAGGGAACTCTGGTGCGGTGTCATGTTCTGGCGCATCAGAAACTGCTTGTCAAATAGAATTTACTACAGCACAGAGTAGGAGCGTCAAAGCCAGAATCAGGTGAAAAGGGGAGGCATAGATGCTCTGTATGTTTTGTTGTTCCCTGCATGTTTGATGAAAAAAGATGTCAAAGTACCAACTCCATCTGATGTCCCTTGATTTCCTTACTGTTTACAATCCAGTACAGTACAGTGAACTTAGTAGAAAAGTCTTACAGATCAATTTCTTGGATGGCATTTGTTTGGTGATGGTTAATCCTCTTGCACTCTGCTTTATAATCCAACTGCAAATCCTTAGTATAATCCCATCTTCCAGGTGTGTCTGCTCCGCACAGAGTTCGGAGGAAATACGATTGAATCGTCTCGAAACATTGATTATTGCACTATCTCCATGGATCCCTATCACTCACCCTCCCTCTATGAGCAAGTCTGAACATGCCAGTATACATGCTGTGAGACTTACACTTCCTTTCAGTATTCACCACATGTTGAATATTTAAAATCAATGCAGAATTAGTTCTCAGTCGTACAATGTATCTATTACAACTTAACCCCATTTCTTCAAGTAGCTTTTCCTTCTGCAAGCCACCAATGCAAATAAGAATGTGTTCTTCAGCCTAATTAAATAATGGCTACACAGGCACGCTCACTGACTCACAAGAGGTATTTCTGCAACTTTATAACACAAGTACTACTACCACCAAATATTACTGTTTTGAAGGGAAGAGACTAAAATGTAACTGGGACATTTTGGAGCATGAAGAGCTTCTAGGAAAAATACTTGTTATATATATGCTGTATATGCAGATTCTTACATTTGAACTCTATTACTCACTGCAAGCCCAGAAACACTACCTCATCAGATCTAACGGTGATATTAGCTGACACCCTTTACAGGAGATTTCATCTGAACTCTGTGGAGCCTGATCTCAAGGCTTTTAAGTCTGTCCCTGCAACCAGAAGAGGAGATTTTCATCTCTTCGGATTCACTGTGACCAAATGATGGGAGTGATTTCAGCCCTGTATGATCACGTTGATGTTTGCACAGAGCAGATAATGAAGTGAATGTTTTTGCACATTGGTCACACTGAAACTGTTTATTTACAGCGTGGGATCGTTTGTGTCTGGAGTATGAACTGAGATTCTTGAAGCTTTTGTCACACTGGTCACAGCTGTAGTTTCCTTCAGTGTGTGTACGTTCATGAAGTATACGGCTATTTGAATGAGAGAAGCTTTTGTCACAGTATGTGCACTTGTATGGTTTCTCTCCTGTGTGGACTCGTTTATGTGCTTTAAGCTGACCTGCAGTGGTGAAGGATGACCCACACTGGTCACAGACGTGCTTTTTAACCCCACTGTGAATGAGTTCATGGCGTTTTAATGCACTAGGTGTGGGGAAGCCTCTGCCACATTCTTTGCAGTAGTTCAACTTTTGTCCAGTATGTCCACGTTGATGTATTTTTAGATTCCTTTGATGATAGAAAGTTTTTCCACAAAGGTCACAGTGAAATACTTTCCCACCACCACAGTGATGACAGGGTTGAGAACTGGATCCATCTGTGTCGCTCTGCTTCTAAACAAAGACACAAAGACAGTGTAAGTCAGTCCTTCAACATTTTCATCCTGAACGTCACGTTTAAAAAAAAAAAAAGAAAGAAAGAAAGAAAAGAGTCCCTACATAATTTTTATGGTTTCAATTATAGCATTTAGGTTATGTTACAGATCACTACCAAAACTGGAGACTCCTCAACTTCCTGGCACTGGTACCCTCATTCACTGTCGACGCCACCGGGGTCAACAGAACGACTGAACTTTCAAGCAAATTGCCCAATCCTATACCATGATAATAACAATGTAATAATACAGTGGTACCACAACAATGGTAGATTAAAAACACTCCAATAAAAGCAAGACTGTAATAAAAACACAGTAATTCCACAATAACATCACTCTAATACTGACACAATTCTGCAGCAATACAGCAATAAGGCCACTGTAATGAAAAGTTTAAAGTAAATCTGAGTGCAAAAGTAGATCTGACTGCTGGGTCCATCTGACAAGAAGGATGGGAATATGGTACTGTTGGAATCCTACTACACACACAGACACATAAATTCCATCCATTGCATCCTTAAACAACAGTCTATATAACCGGCAACAAGTCAGACTCGCTCCTGGTGGGTGTTGGACTTGCTGCCCTTTGTCACAAATTCTACCAGTAGTAATAGTAGACATAACGATGACCAGGACTACAAAATGCAATTTTTATTTTGATAATGTAAGCAAATTCACAACCGAAACTAAATTGGATGACTCAACCAGTGTCCCATTTAAATGCAGTAGAATTACTAACATGCAAACACAATTGAATGAGCAGAGTTGTTCCAAACAGTCAGGCTAAAATGACAAGATACAAATAAAAATACATACCTCACAGTAACTGCACTTGTAGAGTCTCTTTCTAGTGTGGATCTGTTGGTGTTCTTTCAGGGAATGTGGATATTTAAAAGTCTTCTCACACAGGTCACATTTATAGGATCTCTCTTCGGTGTGGGTAATTTTGTGGATTTGTAAGTGTGCATATGTTGTAAACCATTTGTCACACTGATCACAGCAGTACACATCCTCTCCAGTGTGAATGCGTTGGTGTTTATTTCGGCGTCCAAGGTTGTTAAAGGTTTTCCCACAAAAGTCACAGCTGTACGCCTTAATTCCAAAGTGGGAAACTTGATGAGTCTGTAAGGCATCATTGCGAGTATAAGATTTACCACACTGATCACACTTGTAAGCCTTAACTCCACTGTGGATGAGTTGGTGATTTTTTAGCCCACTCTTCTGTCTAAAAGGTTTTCCACACAACTCACAGCTGAATGGTTTCTCTCCAGTGTGGATGAGCGTATGACTATTTAGGTTATTCTTTAGAGTAAAACACTTTCCACACAGGTTACACTTGAATGGTTTAACTCCACTGTGAATGCGTTTGTGTGTCTTTAAGGTATTACTCAAACTAAAAGATTTTCCACACAAGTCACAGCTGAACGGTCTCTCTCCAGTGTGGATCACTTGATGTCTTCTTAGGTTAGACTTTACAGTAAAATCCTTCCCACACTCCTCACAGCTGTATGTTTTCTCTCTCTTTCTTCTGTGAGGTTTGTCGGCCTCCTGAGAGCGCTGACTTCTCGCTCCATGTTGGTCCTGCAGTGACAGAGATACAAACAGAGGCAGTGAGTTAAATGCAGTCGTGGAACAAACCAAAACTTCAAACTCCTTCAAACTAGTTTAAACCTGAAGGTTGAAACAAAATCAAGGCTGTCAAAAACAATGTTTACAGTTGGGCGAGGTTCAGTACAGATGAGAATTCAAGCAGAAATTCTGTGAACTATTTGAATATTTTTCAGAGATCGTCCTGGTTATATATCAAATCAAATCAAATCACTTTTATTGTCACATCACATGTGCAGGTACACTGGTACAGTACATGTGAGTGAAATTCTTGTGTGTGAGCTTCACAAGCAACAGAGGTGTGCAAAGTACAATAACGTAAGAACAAGCAAAATATAAGAATGGCTAAATCTGAGAATTATATGAATAAATATATGTACAATATAAGAGTGTATGCATATTACTGAATGTGTATACTAAATATGTATGTCAACGTGTGTGTGTATATATGTGTGTGTGTGTGTGTATACATATTTTACAAGTTAAATAGAGTAAAACAATAAAATAAATATATAAAATATACAGAGGTTGGTAGTTGGATATTGTGCAAAACAAGTGGCATTAATGTACAGTATGTAGTGCATAATGTTGTAGTAAGGGTGAGGTGTCTATGAAGTGTTCAGCAGTCTGATGGCCTGATGGAAAAAGCTTCTCTCAGTCTGCTGGTTCGGGACCGGATGCTGCAGAACCTCCTTCCTGATGGAAGTAGTCTGAACAGTTTATGGCTGGGGTGACTGGAGTCCTTGATGATGCTCCCCGCTTTCCTCAGGCACCGCTTCGTGTAGATGTCCTGGAGGGAGGGAAGCTCACCTCCAATTATCCGTTCAGAACACCGCACTACTCTCTGGAGAGCTTTACGGTTGTAGGCGGTGCTGTTGCCGTACCAGGTGATGATGCATCCAGTGAGGATGCTCTCAATGGCACAGCAATAGAAGGTCCTGAGGATGCGGGGGCTCATGCTGAATCTTTTCAGTCTCCTGAGAAAGAAGAGGCACTGCTGCGCCTTCTTCACTGTTTTGTTTGTGTGTCCTGACCACGTAAGATCCTCAGATGTACACCGAGGAAGCGGAAGCTGCTCACTCTCTCCACAGCAACGCTGTTGATGGTGATGGGGGCGTGTACTTCTCTGCACCTCCGGAAGTCCACTATCAACTCCTTTGTCTTTGCGACGTTGAGGGTGAGATGGTTGTCTTGACACCAGTGGGTCAGGGCGCTGACCTCCTCCATGCAGTCCACCACTGTAGTGTCGTCCGCAAACTTCACAATGATGTTGGAGTTGTTAGTGGCCGTGCAGTCGTAGGTGTAGAGTGAGTACAGGAGAGGGCTCAGTACACACCCCTGTGGTGCACCAGTGTTCAGTGTGATGGGGGATGAGGTGATGCTGCCCAGTCTGACCACTTGGCGTCTGTCAGACAGGAAGTTAAGGATCCAGCTGCAGAGGGAGCTGCTCAGTCCTAGATCCTGCAGTTTCCTGTCCAGCTTCGAGGGAACGATGGTATATCAGGATTGTGAAGTATTAGATGAGCCCAGTGAAATATAGAGCATTCCCAGAGTATTTTAATTTAACAAAACACCAGCACTTGGTGTCCCTGTATCAATTTAGTCACGCAGATTTGACTGCAGGTGCCATGTAACTACAGCAACAACTGTGAATGGCCTCTCTAGTACAGTTAATTCACGGTCTCAATATAAGAAATGTTAATCTCGGCATCAATAAAAGGACACATTCATTGAGAAAAGTGCTGAACACATGGGAATGTCCAAAGAAGACAAATATCGTTTCTCCTAAAAAAAAATGGCCACAACAAACAGGATACAGGAGGAGGATAAAACACCAGGACACCCACAAACATAAATGCTGGCAACGACGTAGACTGCTTATGTAGAGCTTATAATTTAACATACAAAGATTGACCACATAAGTCTAAGCATATTTTATAATTACAATAAATAATCATAACAAGAGAACAACATCAACTGAGTCCTTCCTGTGACTCAGAGGAAGTTCAGCTTTCATCACCATTTACTTTACATTGTTATTGAGCTGCTGATTGTTCGTCTATACTAAAAAGAATATTTAGAGATCATCTCACTTCCAAACATCACTGATGTTCTGTTATAAATTCATTTGTTAGAAAAAGGTTTGTCTTTCAAAATATGTTAATTTATACCGAATTTAGCACAATGACTTGTTTACCATGAAGAATAGTCTAAAGGTTTTTGTTTGTTTCTGTTTGTGCATCATAGGTTTTAAATAAGCAGATAGTGACAAACATGCATGCTGCGCCCAAACTTTAAAGAGCCACTTTACATCATTTCTGCCAATAAACAACAAAGCAGTCTCTCCATGGTATTTCTCATTCAACGGACAGAGAGCACAAAGACGACTGCCACCAGCTGCAGTGAGTCTGTTGACCCACAGAAAACTGAGATACTTTCCATGTGGAGGGGTGTGGCCTGCAGTGCTGTGCAGGGAAGGCAGACGCACCTGCACGGCATCCGTAATCACGCCCGCCGACTTAAATATTGTACTGGGTCCTGTGGTTGTGGTAATGTTGAGCTGGCAGCGGAAGAGTTGCAGCTCTGTGTGCATTGTGAACAGCAACCATGTGTGTGCTAATAAAGAATGCTGCAAAGCATGGTAATGTCACCGGGTCTGCACGGCAGACCCAGGACTGGGCCAGCAGAGGGAGGGGCCGGTGCAAATGGTGGCCGACCTGGTGTCACCTGTGTGACTTCAACATGATCTCCTTTTATCTAAATTACATATGAGCAGAAATGCAGGACAAGAGAGCCATACTTAAAAAATGCTTTAAAAATGATTGTTTAATTGATTGATGTTTTTGTTCCCGTGTATTATCAAAGTCTGATCGTTTTTCTTGTTTTAATTTCAGAGATTCTCTATGTGTGAATATACTGAGGTTGAGAAAGAATAACAACACTAAGCCTGATGTTACCTGAGACCGTAATAAAACCAACAGCAGCCAATAAAGTGCACATAGTTATATCACTATAGCTTAGCAGTGATATTGTGCTGACCTTTTGTGTTGAGCTCATTGTTTCCTCTGTAGTGGCTGACCTGAGTACAGGTGGGTGAAAATGTTCCTCTGCTGCTCCGTCAGACTCTTCTCCTCCTGCTGAACAGCTGGGACACAAAACAGATCTTTGTTAGGCAACCATTTTGATCCTTGAAAAAAAA